TAGCTTCAACCCCTAGATTTCGATCATGATTAAAACATACATAAGCCCCAGCGACGAGCTGCGATCATTCGGTATGTATCGGCAATCGAGTTCAAGAAAGACGAGACGAACAACGAAATCAACCACTTGAAGCCAAGCTCTTCGGTTCCCCCAACGTCAACTTACACAACTACATCAGACTCAATCAGTATCAAAATGAGCTCCGCACAAGGCAACAGAGCCCTCTGGCTTTCATCATACTCCAAACCCCTCGAGGTAATCGACCTCCCCATCCCAGACGCTCCCACAGGCACAGTCGTCGTCAAAATCCTCGCGGCGCCAATCGTGCCCTACACCCACCTAGCCCACACCGGCAAGCTCCCGCAGCTCAACGTCCACCCGCCCTTCGTCCCGAACCCCAACGCAATCGGCCGCGTTCACGCCGTCGGCCCGGATGCCGTGCGCGTCAAGCCGGGCGATCTAGTCTACGTTGACGCCACCACCCGCGGCCGCGACGATCCCGTCAACGTCATGGTCATGATTGGTCACCTCGGCGGCGTGGGCGACGCGGGCCAGAAGCTGATGAAGGAATGGCGTGACGGTTCGCTGCAGCAGTATCAGAAGGTGCCTCTCGAGAACGTCTACCCGCTGGATGAGAAGCGTCTTATCGGTGAGCTGGGATATGACTTTGCGGCGTTGAGCTCTATTGCGCACTACTCCGTTGCCGCTGGCGCCCTCCTCGAGGCTGCGGATATCAAAGTAGCCGAGACCGTGGTCATCGGACCCTCTGGTGGCTCATTTGGCGGTCTAGCTGTCGAGGTCGCTCTCACCGTCGGTGCAAACGTCATCGCCCTGGGCCGCAGTGAATCGAAGCTCGCAGCAATGCGCAACAAGCTCGGCGATAACCCGCGCCTTAAGACAGTGGTAATGACAGGCGACGCCGACGTCGACGCACAAGCTATCCTCGCAGCCACTCCCAACGGCGCTGGAGCGGACGTCTTCAACGACTGGACACCCGGTGAGCTCAAAAACCCGCCGTACCTCGAGGCCGCTGTTCGCACGCTGAAGCGTGAGGGGCGAGTTATTCTCAGTGGCGGCGCGAGCGAGACGTTGACGATACCGTATGCCGTGTTTGGGCTTAAGAACCTGAAGTTGCTAGGCAAGTGGATGTGCGAGCGGCCGACGCTGTTGCAGCTGGTTCGCATGGTTGAGGGAGGTCAGTTGAGGATCGGGAGGGAGAGCGGGGCGGAGATCAAGGTGTTTTCTCTGGATGAGCATCACGAGGCGACGGAGTTTGCGAGGGATAATGGTGGATGGAGGAACTACACAGTCATTGCTCCTAACGTGGAGTGAGGTTGTCCTTTCAATGATGGTGTCTCTGCTTCGTTCTACGGGTCACTGTGTTAAGTCGGTCAGCAAAGCCAAGTCTCAATTCATATTCGATGAATTGTTTCTTACGAAGAAATAAAGAGGTTACGTACGGGTAATCAAACAAAAAGCGACGAACGATTAAGACCGGTCGACAGGATTGGTGTCGTGAACACGCTTCTAGCATGGTACTACAAAATATAACGCCTGTCCCGTAGAGTTCATAAGCCAGCTTGGTCATAAATCCTCGACCACAAGGCATAAAAGTGGTGCCCACCCTCAAAGGGTGTTTGGATGGCCCTCTAGTTCTAAAGCCCAGATGAAGTACCCCTTTTGACCTGTCCAGATCAGCAACCCAGAAACTGTAAAAACTAGCTTTTCATCAACCTTGGTAGACTGACGATGATCTCCAACTACCCTGTACTGACGCCGTCAAGGTTGAAGAAGATGGTAGTATGATCAAGAAGACATGGGCCGCGGCCGCAGGAACAAGATTGGTCAATTGGCCAATCTCGTCTCTTCATGATTGGCCAAATATCCCCAGTCTATTTGTCCATGTTGGAGCGTCTTCCCCCACGCGCGGACGTTGCGACCACTTGCATGTAGGGTTTCAGTTTAACCGGCGTGACCGACCTGCTCTTCATGTTGGAAGTGCTGGAGATAAGACGAACCAAAAGAGCGGCTCATCGATTCTGCATGAGCTCATGTAGACCCATCGTTCTCGTTTCGACACATCCTATTTGGTTGATTCAAGATGGTGTTCTCGTAAACTCGTTACAGGCGACCAAGGGTAGATAAATACTCATATCGTCCATTACATTCCGTTTACTTGTCTCTCATGTTAGTGCATTCGCGGCAAGCTGCTCAACGTGAACTTCGTGTCAGGATTTGACCATACGATCAGTCTCCAGGCGTTGCACAGCATGAAATATGACTGCAGATAATCTATGGTGAATGTTTATACCACCCGGAACGTCCATTCTCGTCACTCATCACATCTCAGTAAGAGCAAGGTGAGATTCGACCGAACTGACGGTCAGTGCGTTGGCCGCGGGTAGTGAGATTGAGCCCGCAGTGATGGCTCCCGGCCGTTCACTAACGCGTGTACCTTGGTGAAGATCCCTGCTCCCGCTCCAGCATGACAAGGAGAGGGGCTGTTTCTTGAGGGGGACATTACTGGGCTACCACGCTACCTGAGGTACTCCGTACCTTGGTAGACTTGGGGTGCAGGCACGTTGGCCCGCACCTGCTGAATCTCTGGTGTCGAGTGGACGCCTCGGGAAATAGAGGTACCTAAGTACCGCCAAATGCCCCCCCGTCGTGCCTGACAATGTCTCTGAACCTTCTGAAATGGGCGGTAGGAAGGGGCGAACCAAAGGAAGCGATCCTTCCTTCCCCAACCAGCCAACCGGTGAGTGGCAAGCACCTTAATTCCAACCTTAGGTAACCTTCAAGTGGCAGCTCGATATCTCCCACGCTCATCTCGCTTTCTTTTGACTACATCTCTTTCTCAGGCCGACCGTCGTTGGCTTTTTGGACGGCAAACGTCCAGTCTCCGCCGCACGACAAGGGAAGGGGCAATTAGACGACGGTTTGCCGACTTCTGGCAATTGCTACCACTGCATTACTTCGGCATCTTGCACTAACTGCACACACGACACACCCACGACTCTCATCGCCCAGGATCTGTCTTGCGACGCGATTCCTTGGCCGCGTACACCTTGCATTTACTTGCTGCATCATCGGTATCGCATGGGCCTTACATTTTGCTATCGCAACAGAAGTTGCCCGTCAGTCTCTTACGTCTTCAGCGCTGTGGTAAGCAACTTATCTCACCTCGGCCTCTTCGGACACTATTTGCTCATCTCATCCCAGTAGCTGAAACTCATCATGGCGGACAACACATCCACACCCGCTGACCCGATGGCCGCAGCCTCGAATGCCATGATGGCCTCCATCCAGGACTACATTCGCACCGCCGTCACTACAGAGGTTGCAAACATCCCGAACGCAACTCAGCCCGCCCAGCTCGCGGCCCTTCAGAGTCGTCTCGACACTGCCAATCAGGAAAACTCTGAGATGAAGGAAAAGATCAAACAGATTGAGAGTAAGAAGTCCACACGCCACAGTCACAAGCGCATGTTTCTTTCCTATCCATGATCTTAAGTACAATACTGACATCGAAGAAGCAGGCGAGCGAGACACTGTCAAGTCTGCCTTCTCTTCTTACTTGGGCTTTCCCCTCCCAGACTCTAAGCTTTCCCGCCATTCGCACAGCAAGAGCACCAAGTTCCCCCAGTTTCAGAAGTTCCCTGTCGAGATCCGCATGAAGATCTGGAAGCTCGCTCTCCCTGCTGGACGTATTTTCGACCTCTCCAACGTCGATGCCCACTTCTCTCGCGTTCTCCGAGCCCCCATCGCCAACAATAACGGCGCGCCTAACCCGGCCTTGGCCCTGCGCCAGGCCTCGGGCCTCACTGAGATGAGCGTGACCGCCCACAAGACGCCCAAGCTTCGACTTGCCTGTAAAGAGGCTAACAAGGCATTCCTCGAGGCGGGCGGCTTCGAGTTCGGCTTGTTCGGCGGCCCATACAAGGGCCTTTGGTTCAACTATTCTGAGGACATTCTCTTCGTCCGTGAGGAGCCACGTACTTGGACCAACCTAGACATGTCACGCATTGTCCCTGTCGCTTTCCCGCATAATAGATTTATGTGCAAGGTCGACGCTACTGCAAAGATGGACATTGTTCTCGATCACTTTACCTCTTGCAAGGAGGTCATCCTCATGCAGACCATGGAGTGGGATATCCGCTCCTGTCTGGCAAGCCCTCGCCTGCCCGCCAAGCTATTCCCGCTGCAGAAGGCCGATCCGATTAGCACCCACGACTACCCGAAGGAGTTCTCTGACGATGTTGGTAGCGTCGCAACCTGGGGCGATGTCAAGCGCATTGTTGGCCAGATCTGGGAGGATCACGTCATCAATGTGAAGCATCTCAGCCCCGGCCGCGTTCCCAAGTTCTCCGGCATTGAGGTTCTTAAAGCTCGCCCGAGCTACTTTGACTAGAGGCCAAGACGGAGAAGGTAGCTTGGATGATTTTCTGGTTGGTCTTTGATGATTCATGCAGGATTTGGCATGTACCATATTCCGGTACACTTTCCATCGGGAGAAGGGGCGTTGGGTTTGGTTTCTTCTTCGTACAATAGCTAGTCACCTACCAATTGATATCCACGAGGTCTTCGGGACGTAAACTGTTCGTGTTTATGGCTGTTATTGCCAGCAAACAGGCTTGATGAATGAGTTCCATGACGTTGATCTTCTTCGGGCTGCGAGCCCTCATACACATTCCTTTGCAGAGTGACATGGACGGACCTTGAAAACTAGGCCACTTTCACTCGCTGCTCAGGCTTGTACCTCTACGTCACTGGCATCGCTCCGAAGAAAACATAAATGCCAAAGCTTTCTTAATAAACTGCCTGTTTCTTGTTGATGAGTCTTCGGACTGTTCTCTCTACCTACCTTCTCCCTCCATCTATCATACACGTCTCTGCTCTTGGCTCCTTACCTTTGCGACGATCAAACGTCGAGAACCTTCAAGTCTGTCTTTATTTGTGCAGAGTCTTCTTCAACAACCAAGCACCCATTCCACTCGCCACTATTCTCTCCCTCTCTGATATTCCGTATGAAACAGACTGAAGAGATGGATGGGTATCAAAAGAAGGGACGTATTAGTCACCCAGAATAGCTTTTTAGAATCCTCCCAGCCGTCCCACCTCCTGAAGACCTTAAAGAATCGTCCAGGACCACGACCACCGCCCCCTCGATTGTCCTCCTTTCTGAAAGCCTCCACGGCCCCTAGGATCAAGGGCCCCTTGTATATGCCAGGCTTGTCGGCGTTTGCGAGAATCTTCCCCTCTCTCGTCTTCAACAGCATGTCCCTAAGCTCGGCCCAGGTGAGGTGGTTTCTCCCGTCCAACTCCGGAAACCTGGCCGCTAGGACGCCCTCCACGCCAAGCGTTTGGGCAATAACATCATCATCTCTTACGGTTCGAAACACCGGAAGCTTTCTCGGGAGCTCATCCATGTTCACAGATGCAATGGGACAACGGCTGTCGATATACATCGCGACGACGAGATGGTGGCATGCAGAAAAGCTCTCATTCTAAACTCCAGTCTACAGGAATACATCCAGGGCAACTTCGATAGAGATGATCGACTTTTTCGAGGTCTTCAACTCTGCCTGGTACCACTGTTCCAAGGTCACATAGTAGATCGCTTCCTGGATTTTGTTGAACTACAGACCGCGAATATTGGTGTTACCGAAGCAGCCAAAGGTGAAGTGGCTCACCGACATGCAGGCCTCATATGCTTCCTTGCACGCCTCTCTGACGCGGGGGGGAGAGTACTCGTGCAAGGAGCGAGTCGGCTTGTCAAAGGACCAGTACTCGAGATTCTACGGAATCGTTGGGATGCGGTCATCGTGACCTCTTCGCCGAAGCTCAGAAGTATGATAGCGGCAAGCTCAACGATGACTCCGGCCACCGGCCAAGCCTTCTCTGACGTTTCAACGACTGGCTTCCTACCATCCCGCGTCAGACTTCCAGCAAAAGCAGCCTCGGCCGCTCCCAATCAGACCTCGTAAACGAGTACGAGCTGAATGAAGGACTTTAAAGGCTGCTTGTACTTGAAGAATAGCGCTAGTGTCCAAGACACGATGGCTGTGATGAACCATGGAAGGGAGCGCATGAGCAGAAGGCACCTTTCCTGTCGTTACGGGGACCGACTTGACAATATTCGCACTATCATTTGCCTTGAGCCAAAGATTCTCGCCATCCAGTAGCTTTACAACCTCCCAGTCTCTTATCTTCCAGGAGGTATAATCGTATGGAACGTCAAGTTATGTCAAAGAATTGAGAGGAGCGCGCATGACCTATGTTGATAGCATTGAAGGCGAAGTGGGAACTATCCTTGACTTGATGACCAGTGCCTCCATCTCCCTCAGGATCTTCGGATCTGGTATGTGTAGCCATCTACATAATTGATGAATGTAACGAAAAAGGCGATCCTGAAGGTGCATGATTGTAAGAACCCCTTGACTTATGCATCTCTCATGAAAATCCGCCTCCAACAAGAACCTCACTCAATAACGCGAGGCTTGCGAAAAACCTCCACGGCACGAAACCTGACCAGTTTCTTGAAGGAGCTGCCCGCGCTCTCGTAGAGAACCTTCTCCAGTTCGAGTTGGTGTTCACCCCAGGTCTTCAGCAGGCCTTCATCCCAATCATTCAAGTCCACCAGCTCAGCGCAGACACGCTCATGATCTTTGATGTCGTAAAAGACTGGCTGAGTAGTCTCCAACTCCCAACGACTCGGTGCTCTACTCTTCACGATAGGAGCTCCGCGGGGCTGGTAAGCAATCGTCAAGTTGTCGCAGCCGTAGCAAGCGCCCGAGAGGACGTCTCTGCACTTATCCGGGCTGAGGACGATCGTGTCTCCGATGATGAGGTTCTTCACATAGAGGAGGTTCAAATCCCGCCACTGGGAATACCTGGAGATGTAGATAGCGTCGAGCTTGTTGTTGTACCAGATCGATCTCATCGTTTCGTGGGCCAAGTCATCCTCATAGTAGCCGAAGCGAAACTGACCTGCCTTCATGCAGTAGTCGCGTGCCTCTCGATTGACTTCTCTGAGAGTCGGAGGCGCCCAGTGTTGAAAGAATCGAACGTGTCTTGGGTCATAGAACATGTAATCTTCATATGTCTTCGGTTCGTAGATTCTACCACGCGGGAGGCATAAATCCCAAATTTTATGCTTCAGCTCTTTGGGGAGTCGATTAAAGTAGCAAGTGCGACCTCTCGCGGCTTGGCAAATAGTCAGAACTTTCCATGGAGGACGGGGAGGAGGTTAAATACCTGGAGTACGAGCACGAGGAACGTTTCCGGCGTTCTTGAAGGAAGCGACAACTCTGCTTGTGGCCAACAAGAGGAGGCCGATTGCTTCGTTGCGGAATCCCAAGCCTTGCTCGGGGTTGGCTTGCGCAATTGCGGCTGTGGCCAACAACAGTGAGCCATGCATGTTTCTGTTGGAAAGGTTTCCAGACTTGTCAAGTGCGGAAGACACTTTGCTTGCTGCCTTCAATAGGCTGGCGATGGCGGCATGTTGCTTGTCGAGCTCCTGGAAGGAAGAGATGATGGTGCTGGTGGAGTCCAATATTCTAGAGATCAGCTCGTTTTCATTTCGAAAAGCCTTGATCTGCCCATCAGGCTCAGGTTGCAAGTCGGAGGTCATCTTGATGGCCTTGGCGTCCGAGTCGCGGTAGTTGATGCAATTTCTTCTTCCCGCCTCGAGGATAGTGATGTTGTCGAGATTCGAGGGTCTTCGAATGAAAGAAATTAGGGTTTGAGTCACTAGAACTGTTTCCACCGGCCATGGTGAAATGAAAATTCTTTCTATGAAGCGACGGGACTTGGATCAATCGTCAATAAGTGTGAACACGCATGGCGAAAAGGGCCAGAATCGAGCGGGGATAGTTGACATTTGTCCCCTAGATTGCAGGCCGTCATATTCGTTCCGCTTTTATCAGATATCATCATTGGAAGTTTTGATATAAGGCCAAAAGTGAATTAGAATGTAATATCTGGTCTTCTGACAAAGAAGATGAGGTTGATAGCCTTTGTTGCTATGTGAAGTGGGCTGGCTGCCTTGGGGATTCCTTCATGCTAGATAGTAGCCCCTTGAGACTTGACTTCAACCAGACATAGGTCAGGTATTTGAGCATGACAAGTAAATAAGAAGTACCTATCTGTAGTTAGAAAGAGCAACATTCGAGGTGTGCCTGCCTTGAGGTGAAACTTTAGCAGCACTTTTTCTTACCTTTATATTGCCTTCTACTTCTTCACCTTGAACTTGGACTTTCCCGCCCTCGACCACCTCACGCTCCCGTTCTCGCCTTTCTCAAATACACCCTCAATACTCTTCCCTCTTCGCTCTGACAAACTTACACCTTTCGCCCTCTACGACTTAAATCCTCCACTGACCTTCCATTTTTTTCCTTCCTCAACACAACCCTCTTTTGGGCGAGTCAGACCGAGGTCTGATCCCTCAAACTTCCAATCACATACCTCAATTCCCAACCCAAGAGTCAGATATAAGCCAACGAAGATGGACGAGCCGGTTGAGCTTGTCAAGAGCTTGACCGACAGCCTTGAGGTTATCAAAAAAAGTTCAGTCCCAACAGTCGAAGACCTTTTCTGAACTTGCAAAGCTGTGCGTCAAGAAGGAAGGCCCTGCAGAGGAGGTCTGCCGAGTGAACGACCTTCAAGGTTAGTACCTTCCGTCGCAAGCAGTATGTACCACAACAAAGCTAACCAGAATAATTTGTAATAGAGACTCAAGAGTCGCTGGACAGTATCATGAGCCTTCAGATCAAGATCATGAAACGGCAGGCGGCGATGGTGCTCTCGAGACAGAAGGCCACAGCGATGCCGTCCAAAGGACAGGAGCTGGGGTCTCCTTCCGGTGCGTCCTCCTCTTGATCTTTATGGATTCAATCGTACTTGGAGACCATGACATATACTGATTCCAGTGACAGTCACAGGTTTTCCCAAGTTTCGTCGACTACCCGTAGAGAGTCGGAAGCTAATCTGGATAATGGTATTGCCGGATCGTCGAGTCCTCGAGGCGCCCGAAGCCGGATACCACGAGATTTACAAACGATTCAGAGCTCCAGTGATCCGAGCCGTGTGCAAAGAAGCCTGGGAGGTTACCGAAGAAAACGGCCTCTTCGCCATGGGGTCGGAATCCACTGGAGTTGGGGGAACCTGGTTCAAACCTCAAAAGGATGTTGTCATCCTTGAAGAGAACTTCTCGCTGGGACCGCTTGCGGAATGTTGTCCTGAAATCATCGCCATCGATCGCACGTTCATTGAGGATTTCAAAGACCTCAAGAGAATCTTGCGTGGCGTGGTAGAATTTTTATTCTGCCGCAAGGTCATCATCCTCTTTCGGACTGCCGACAATTCAAAATACAAGGACGGGGCAGCACCAAAGCTATTCAATCTTCAGCCTCACGAGTTGATTTGGTCACCTTACACGGATGATCGGCCAGTCATTCCCGATAGGCATTTCGATTACACATGAGAGGCTTTGAAGAAAACAACAAAAAGCTGCTGGGAGAACGAGTTCCAGAAGAACGAGATGGTCAGGTTGATGCTAGAGGATAGAGACATGCCTGTCATCGAGGGGATGGAGTTGATCATGTACAAGGAGGATCAGATCTCCTTTTAAACAGCACAAGAGGGAGGTATGGATGAGAAAGTCATGGGGAAAGCCAAACATATCTATAGCATAGAACAACTTTTATCGTCTTCCTCGTTGGCTTGAATGCTTTTATCAATGGCAGTTGTTGGTCGACTCTGGTCTCACGAAGACTGGCTTCAAATCTAGAGGCAAAGTTCTAACTACGTCAATCCTATCATCAATATCAAGTCGAGAGATGTAGGTTTGGCTGATGAGTTCCAGTCGCTTGGTCACTACGATCACACGCTTTGAAAACTCGGCAAGTAATTCTGAGCATCAAATCTCTCGAATCTCTCTTATCAGTTAATGCTGAGTAGATCTAAACTACAATTTGTTTCACGGCTGTGTGTTGATGGCATCAATGTGCGAATTCATCCACTTATCAGTGTTCTTCAAGTGATACTTTGAAATGCGGATGTAAGCAACGAGCCTATTACTAGTGCCTGGGGCCATGTTACCCACAAGTGAGAGGGAAGGAGCATCTAGGAAGCATTTGTAATATTGACTATATGCTAAACATTAGACGTATGGACCTGACTATCGTAATAGGTAATGGAGACATCTAATTATGCAGTTGCGTTTAGTTGTGAAGTCGCTCGTGGCTGGTACTCTGGTTCTTGAGCGGTTGCAATGATGTCACCTCGATCTGATCATGGCGTGTCGACTGTGTTTATTGGTTTGTATCAAACATGTTGAATGGAAAACCGTGTAAGCACGGATTCCATGGGATGTGGGTAAGTCTTCAACTTGTGTCACAAACATCTATATCCAGCGTTGTGTTTCTTTGTATTTCCAGATGGAATACCCAAACTGAGACGCTCAGGCCAAACAGAATCAAAGACGAGACTATTGATGGAGACAGGTAGAGCGAAAGTTTGCGTTCCTGGTCCTTATTTGTTAGTCATGGTGGACGAAGCTCATGTGGCAGCATCGAATGATTCGAGTTCAGACACGGCAGCCTTGCATTCAACGTCTCTTAAGACATTGAAAGAAGGTGGAGCGTTGGTTGATGAGAAAATGAAGGTATACCAATGCGTAAGCCTGTAATTTCCTAGTTTGGGGCACTCCGAAATCTCCAAGTATTTTTCAGTTTCACTGCCTCTCCCTGTAATGTGTTCCGCAGTTTATGAACAAACACTGCGACGCAAGCAGTATGATATAAGAGCTGTGATTCCATTCTCTAGCAAAACATCTGCGGAAGTTATCAGACAGCTCACTCAACACCTCCGTTTCAGTCAGCTTCTCTCTCGTGGCTCTTTCCAACCAATTCACTGTCACTGTCATTCTTTTACAGCAATCTTCCTCAACCATCATGTTCGCCAACACCCTCACTCTCTGCATTTCTCTTATTCCATTGGCTGCAAACCTCGTAGCTGGAGAAGCTGCGTTCTACGGAACAATCCCAGACAGCGAGGTCCAAACCCTGTCCTCGACCAAAGTACCCGCAGCTTCGTGGACCACCTCCTTCATCGCTCCTCGGTCCACAAGCAAGCCCACCGGTCCTTCTCTTGACAACCCAGTCTGGTACGCCCAAGAGACTTTCGATGATACGCCTGCCTTTGACAAGCGAATCAACGCCGCCAGGAATCAGCAGTCGAGAATCTGCAACAAGGAAGCCGACTTCAACCCCCACCCGCCCATCCACTCCGACAAGCAACTCAAGGGCGCAGACTACTTTTGCAACAACTACGCCGGCTTCATGGAGTCTGCCATGAAGTCTCTTCGCGTCGAGTGACATGACGAGTTTGAGGGCCGCCACCAGTACAAGGTCTCTTGGGCTGCGGGGTGTGTCGCCGACGGAGACAGGCAGCATGTTAGGTACCCTAATGGTCTTTCGAACACCAATCCTAGCTGCAACGACTTGATGAGGGACAATTAATTGCGATGTGAGTGTTTTAAATTATCTACCTTCTCTAAATCTCTCTGGGAGGGAGAAAAGGAGTCGCTTTTACTAACACATCACCGTCCTAGGTAACAACGGTGGTGTTGGAGGCAAAGTCCAGGTGGGCTGCCTCGTTTACGCTTACAACGGAGGAACTGTCGCCGGAAGGGACTATGAATCTATCGGACTGTGGTGAGCGGTCGATCAAGGTCACCCATCTTCTTGTCGAGGCTTACGGCATGCGAGTGGGACAGAGGGGTAACTCTTTCATTCCCATACAAGGCAATATGAAGTAAGTTATGGACTATTTCTTTTCAACATGTACAATTAGATAGGACATACTCAGAACATATATCCTTGAAACGCCTCATTCACCCCGATCGGGCTGGAGAAAACTTGGAATGTCACTCCACGTGAGGCCGGAGCAACGTTGTGGAACAATGAGAGAAACAGAGGAATGCTTCGAGGAAGCACCTAATGCTTGTTGACAGGCTTGATGAAGCCTAGATCCAAACAGACAGACTCCTGAAAACATTCCAGAAAACATAGCCATAACAAACCACTTTCATCGAAGGCTATCTAACGATTGGGCTCCTGGGTGAATGGGTAATACTAAACAGAAAGCAAGGTTGCGATGAGGGTACAGAGACACAAGCGGACGTTGGACAATGGCAACATGTTTGCCCTGGACCGTGCGTCGCGGGAAGTCGTAACTAGTCCTAAAAGGGCATGGTGCGGGGTAGGAAAGCTACGGTCCTTTGGTGCTGAGGTTGGTCGGCCTGCCAGGCACTCATGCCAATGCGTCGCCGCGGGGCAGCTTTCTTCTGGGTTCCATCATCAACAACATCATCTTCACATCCTACCTACCGACACGAACCCTGCAATCTTTGGAGCCGCAAAGATGTCTACGGTTCACATCAAGTCGGCAGCAGAGTTTCAGAAACTCCTGTCGAGCTCTCGTATCGTTGTTGCTGACTGTGAGTACTACCTGACCGCCGAGGTCACTGCACCCCTGCCTCTCCATCCTGGATGACGCCAATGAGGCCATCGACGGCCGCGACACACCCGACGCGCTGTGGTGGCGGCTTCATTGCTGCTCGGTATTGCACCGGCTATATTGCTATTGCTTCACCTAGGACACCATCGAGCCACTCGCTAAATGCATCCATGATTGAGCTGAAGTGCTGACAAATGGATTCCAGTCTACGCCGACTGGTGCGGTCCCTGCAAAGCCATCGCACCCCTCTACGAGCAGCTTTCCTCGTCCCTGTCCCGCAAAAATGTCGTCACTTTCGTCAAGATCGATGTCGAGTCCCAGAAGGAGATCGCCTCCGCCTACAGTGTCACTTCGCTCCCGACTTTCATGATCTTCCGCGAAGGCAAGACCATCGAGAAGGTCCAGGGCGCCGACCCCCGCAAGCTCCAAGAGGTGGTCAAGAGGCTGGCCAAGGAGGTCTCCGAGGGCGGTTCAGGCTCTGGTGAGGCGTCCGGCAGCTCGAGCGGAGGCAACTGGAGGGGTGCAGAGTTCCCTCGCGGTTACGGCGACGTTACCGGTCAGATCGAGCCCAAGGGCTGCGAGCTGCTGAACGCCGACGAGGACTTTGGTCCTGTCAAGGTCTTGTTCGACCCGTCCAAGCCCAGCGCGCTTGCGAAGAAGGAGGGCGCAAAGGATTGGGTCGAGAGTGGCGCTGATGACCAGCTCCTCCTGTTTATGCCATTCCAGTCCATGATCAAGCTGCACACCCTTCAGGTATGATTGGACGATTGTTGTCAAACAAGGCGTCAGTTGCTAACTCAGTACGCAGCTCACCTCTCTGCCTCCTACTGACGATGACGACAACGAGGCTCCCATGCGCCCTGGCACCATTCACCTATACACGAACAAGCCTCACAACCTCGACTTTAGCGAAGCCGACGATACCCCTCCCACGCAAGCCATCGAGCTCACCGAGAAGGACTGGAACGCTGACGGCACCGCCAACATTGGCCTCCGTTACGTCAAGTTCCAGAACATCAACAGCTTGATCATCTACGTGACCAAGGGCGACGGCGACGGTGAGAAGGTGCGTCTCGACCGCGTGCGCCTCATCGGCGAGTCGGGCGAGAAGAGAGAAATGGGCAAGCTGGAGAAGATTGGTGATGAGGCCGGCGAATAGAGTAACTCGGTGGATCATTGAATTCAGGCCTGTGGAGACGAGGAAGAAAAGAGTGCACTCAAAACCCCCCAATGCGACGAGAATCATGAATAGAGCAATAGTCATAGAAGCCTCCGGGAATATTCTGTACCGGAGGCTCAAAAGTCACAACCACTGAACAGACGACTTGGTCGCGCATAGGTGACGATTGATTTGCCACGCAGAGTTACGCATTCAGACGGTCATGCATGAGACGATATTGGCGCGCGCGAGGTGCTCCAGAATAGGAAGCACTCACGGATCGAATGCGACAATGTCCTGTCTCGAGCTGCACTGTGTGGCAAGATGCAGCGCAAGACCTCGCATAGCCACATAGTGCGCGCTTCTTCCTCGTCCACGTCGCATTCACTTTGCGATTTTAGCCAAAAGCTTGGCTTCAAGGTTTGGATATGTTCGGCTTGTCGATCGCGACCCAACTCGCCTGAAGACGAAATAGGATCTATGATGGACAAGCCGACTGCAATTAAAATTCGATCTGGGGCACGATTGACGCCATGAATTCACCGACTTAGGAATTCTAGCAACAGGGGAAACTGTAACGAATCGTGCCAGCCGCACGAAGAAAAAAGAAGAAAAAAGAGAAGCGCTCGAGAGAACCGCGACCAAAAACTCTTTTTTATATCGTGAGATGGGTCCTGCACGTCCGCCCGGAGTGGATCCGGTGGATGACACTAGGGTATCGGAGGAACCTTTTCGCGGAGCAACGGAAAATAGCCGCGGCAGGCTCCGCGGGCTGTGGCGGTGGTCGCGGCGTTCCGCTGGTTGCGGTGAAGTCCACTCAAACGCCCGGTCCCCACAGTTTGCACTCAGTGTGCGACGAGCAGCATATCGGATTTGAGCCAACTAGATGACACCCACCCCCGTCATCATCCAAAGTCCATCAAAACAACTGCGAACGTCCAGCCAGCAACAAATGAAGACACCCTCTTCTTCGTCTTACTCAAGCCGTCGTGTGGGCCTAGCTTACTATTCTACTTTCTCTACCTTCCTTAGCCCGCTTCGTTGAACGAAACAATGCGGATTCCGGCTTGCGCAACGCAACATGACCCCCCAATAAGCCATATTGACCAGGGCTGAAAGAAAGCCTGCTACCATGCACGGTTCTAATCATACTAGCCAAAGCCAAGTTGTGCCGAACGGCGAGAGAGGCCAAGGGGTGGTTTTCTGCGCAGGGGGGGCCAGGATACCTGGATACGACAGATGATGAGCGGGATACTCCAACCAAACGGTCACGCAACGTCGTCGTCAAAGTCACAAGCGCCCTATCAAGTCCCCTTCAGATTGATTGAGCCTGGGCCCGTGATGAGGCAGCGGAGACCCGACTTGAGGAGGTGCCAGGAGGCAACGCAATATGCTTAACCAACCTACCTTGTCCGCTTTCGTATCGTTCGCCCGATCCCAAAGCCTCAAGCAAACGACCTTTGAACCCCGTACCCACCCAACCGACCGAGCCCTTCGGAACCCCTCCCTTCCCTCGTCGTCTGTCGCTCTCGGCAAGCTCCTTACCACGTCCGCCCCTCTTCCGATGCCACCACTTCCCCGAACTGCCCCCGGCCAACGTCTTGGCATGGCTAGCCGTCTGCCATCTCGTTGGAACCCTGCGGTCACCTTGCAGCGCCGTGCCAGTCCAGCGACTCCAGCGCCGTGCTACGCCGTGGCATGGTTCGAATGACGGCACACCGATGCTTCCAATCTGTCTATCTATCCGTACCGCTCTCGCCTTTCGCGCGCGCGCGCCCACGCAAGCTCGAGTCGCTAGCTAGTCATCGCCAGCTTATGGTGATCACGACTCGTCACCAGATTACGAGGGGCCGTTTCCTCTTCGTTGACCGCCAAATTTAGAATTCGCGCCATGTTTATCGCGGGCTTCCGGCGGCGGCGGCGGATCGAATCTTTTACTACCTTAGTTTATCGGTGCGCTTTTTCGCAACTCCGCCTTCGCCAAACCGGCACCGGGGACCCATCTTCACATATCGTTTTCGCCATCCTTAGGACCTTAAGAGGCCCGAATATCGACGTGCATTCGCCCGCTCTGACATCGGTGCGTCATTAACTGCCGGCACGATTACCTGATGTGGCAGTCATGGCGGCCAATAGTCCATTCGTTGCGGCGTACCGGTCGTGACATCCCACGTTGCTTTTGCCCACTAACGACACCGCAGGGACGGTAGATGACCATACCTTACCTTAGTCTAGTCAAAACTGACAGCCATCAGATGATCCGGTCTAGCCCCAGTTTCACCAGTGTGATGGGGACTCTCCGGACGGCTCACAAAACCCAGCTTACATCCGCCGTTTGCAAGTAACAAGTCCGGTTGCGTTTCCTCACGTTTCACTTTCTTCCCTGTCAAGAAGCCTCTTTGAGTCGTCTCTCCTTTTTCCTTCGGATACGATTCGAACGCCCATCTCGCTCCGCTTCCGAGCAGCCCCGTCTCATTGGTGTCGTCCCATCAGCAAAACCTCATTAACCTGCGCAAGCTGCCAGTGCCAGGTCTCGAAAGATAAACTCCCCTCACCCACACACACTTAACCCTTTCCCAACCCCGGCGCGATCCTCGAAACAAACTCGTACCCTCATCTATGCGAGATCTCTCGGGCCGCTAGTCGAAACGTTAAACGAGTGGGTATCGCGGTCCTATATTTCAACGCCAACCTCCCCGTCGGGGACGTTCGTCCCGTCCCATTGCGTGCCTGCTGGCTGCTGCGTGCCTACGAAGTACCTACCCGGCCGTTGCGTTTGCGCGGTCGCTGTCCGAGTGGTTGGACCCGTCGATCATTAAAGTTGCTGCCCCCCAGCCAGAGATCATCGGGGCCTTAAAGAAGATCGACTGCCAGGTTTCCAACAACCGCATTGTGTTGTCTCTGAAGATCTCTTTGCTGCGATGCAACCCGGCCTCAGCGTCACACAGAGATCATTATGCCTTCAACATTATTTCCGTCCTTCTCGAAGGAGTTTTCGAGCCCCACAGTCACCGCCGTCGGCGAGGTGTTCCCGATGATGAAGTTGCCGGTGGAGATCCGACTAATGATATGGGAGTACGCTCTCCCGGAAGCCCGCGTGTACGAGGTCATGGACTCGCCGAATGCAAGCCAGAAAACGCCTGCGGCAGCCGGACTCATGTTCGCCAATGTTCGAGATGAACCACCACCAGCGCTTGGCGCGGTATGCCATGAGACGAGGGTCTATGTACTACAACGCTACAGACCTCTCGCTCTCTCGGCCACGACAAAATACGTCGACCTTTCGCGCGATATCCTCTTGCTTGAGCCGTACTTGCTGGTCAAGCGGTTACTCCGGACCCTACAGTTCTTCAGCCAGATCCCCCTTGTGCGAGACAACCTCAGTCGGCTTGCGTTTGGAACGTCGTACGGACTCTACACTGGCATCTGCCACCCCGTACTCAGTTGGAAAGTCTCCAAGTCCAACATGACGACGCTGCTTACCCGTCTGGCAAAGTTCCCTAGACTAAGGAAGCTCTTATTCGTTGTCCACCAAGAGTTCCAGTTCGACTTTGACATTCGACCTCCGTATGCCACATCTCACATGAACTACCCAGATCCGCAACGCCCACAACTAGTGCACCAGGGATACCGCTTCAAGTTCGACATTGAGTCACAGCTCAACTACACACAGCCGCGACACCCGCACTCTAATGAGTTCCTTTACTACCCACTGGATGTTGACGACGACAAGGAAGACTGCTTCGACAAAGATGACTTGGAGAATGAAGGCGACCTGTTTGAGTCGTGGCCCACGAATGACGACTGGCGGCGCTTTCGGCGGAGGTTTCAGAGATCTATCCATCTCGTGGGGAAAGGCTCCCCGGGATGTCAGCGGCCAAAGGTTATGCCCAAGCTAGAAGGGGCAAGTCTATTGTGGAAGTACAGCAAGGCACAGCATTATTAGTGCATATCTGGGCTGGCGCTTTTGGGATATGGAGTTTGGGGGCTTGCATGCATTATCTATACCCTCTTTAGATCCTGACTTGATGTTTTTGGTTAGGCGCAATACAGCGGCATCTGGGTTTGCACTATCAGTCTCATTATACAGGCTGCATATACAACAAATGATAAGTCACAATTATTAAGATGCATCTTGGGGACCACATCATTTGATTAATGTTCGATCCACGTCTAGAGCCAGATTATAATGCAATCTAAGCAGGAATTCTCAACGCAAGTACCTGTCATTACTAAGGCCTCATTGCTCATGCCTCAAGAGCCTCATTATCATCATCGTTATGTTGTCGTCGTCGTCATGTCTTCATTCACATATCGCACTCCCACTGGTCCCTTCTCAAGCCATACCCTCACTGCCACTCTGCCCAGAGCCCGCGCGCGATACACGCGAGCAGGAAAGCGATGCCCGTGAGATTCAGCACCAGAGCCGCAACGAGGACCGACCAAGGGCAGCATTCGTCGTCCTCCAAATCCCATCCTCTCCCCCCCGTCTCCGCTCCAGCCACCACTCCCCCACACCGTCCGGCCGGAGTAGCGGAACCATCGGCAGCAGATAAGGGGGCCGTCTCGCCGTCTATGTCGGACTCACTGACGCCTCGAATCCACTGCTGAATATTCCAATTCACCACCTCCAGCTCCCGCCTCATCTCCTCATCACTCTGACTACACTCCGACCCCTCCCCCTCAGAATCACCACCAGAATGGCAGAAAAGGCAATAATGCCGCTCCGAAGTGATTTCACGCTCATGCTCATACCCGTCCCCAAGCGCAGCGCTGCCCAGAGACCACCGCCTCAACTCTTCCTCGAACCGAGAAGACGCCGTCGGCGCCAGCGCAGGCGACGGGAGAGCCAGCTCTGAGATCTGCCCGTCGTCGGAAAGGCCGCCGACGATGTCGGCGCGTCGCTGGAAGCCCTTTGAGGCCTCGATGCCGTCTTCCAGGTAGGAGAATCTCTTGATCCAGGGTTCGTTGCGTGGGAGGGGCTCTTCGGCTGGGTTGTCGTAGGGGAAGCGGGATCGGCGGGATTTTACCCGGGCTTCGCGGATGCCATATTCTGCGAGGGTGCGGGCTTCTTGGTCCATGTCTTTGAAGGAGGTCCAGCCGGTGTTGTTGGTGTTGCATTCTACGCAGCCGGGCCTGGTAGGCGTGCAAGTGGCGGAGGAGTCTTTGGACCCTGGAGCTGCGACCTCGTGAGCGCCGGGAGCGTATATCTGCTCGAATAGGGCCTTGGTGATGGCTTCGGCCCTGGCGGCCGACCGGAGCATGTTCTTGTGATGCTCCGGGGTCGGAGCATCGTCGGCTCCTCCCTCGTCCGACTCATCTGACTCGTCGATAGATTCGAGAGTTGTGAAAGTCGGACGAGGGTCGTTCCAGACGTGAGGGTATGTCGCGAAGTAGGTACGGGTAGTCATATTGATTGTGTTCATGATTGAATACTTGGGTGTAAGTGACTCGAGAAAGTGATTAATGAGTGTAAGTTGAGGTAGTTATCAGAGTAATCAGGATGGTGTGTAGGATGTGGTATGGATGAAGATTCTGCTGCTATGACAGGAAAGTAGTCTACTAGATATACTATATGCATTGCTGTCGGATATGCCTTTGGTGTTTGAGTTTTGTGACTTTTCTTTTTGTTGGTGTCGGAGATGGCTTCATTCCCCCAGGGCAGCGCTCTCTACGTTAGACTTCGGTCGTACAACGATTCTGCGCTCAACTAGAGTGCAGCGGAGATGGGACACATAGGTATGGCACATTTGACTCCTTGGAAGAGTCGGGTATCGTTGTTCCGCAGCTTTCACAGTAGATGCCTTCCGACGACTACCTGATGCCAACTTACTCTGTTTGGATATTAGGGACTTCACCCCTCGATTGCTTGCTACCTAGTCTACGAGCCCCTGACCTGACGTCTGCAGGATACATGATACAACATGCTTGAGAATACAGCTTAGAACAGAACATGTTTGAAGATGGAATCTTCGCGTGATCCAAGCTACTCCAAGGGAGTTCGAACCCAAGATGACCGTAGGGCCGCGGTCAGGAGGAAACCCATGTGCCAAAATGGTCGCTCAACTTTTAGACTCGAACTCTGGACAGGGCAACTCATCGATTTTCTGATGCTTTTACTTGCAGGCCCACAATTGGAAAAATACCTTGAGGTGCCTATGGGCGTCGTTAGTCTCAAAGGGCAGGAGGGAATTTGGATACCTGTCTGCTCCTACACCAAATGAGCAGTTCTCGCCACAAAGATCTCAAGGGCGAAGTTCATCTCTCATAGAACTAGTTTCCTTCAATTCACACTAAAAAAGCAAAAGCTCGGCCCCCCATGAAGGGAGCCTACGAAACATCCGAGGAGACTCTTACCAGCCTCGGGTGTAACGATGCAAGGATTTTTACGAGAAGATATACGGGACTCGAATCCGGGACCTATGAGTGCGGGGCTATTCCGTCAAAGAGAAATTCCCCGCTACGTCACAGGCCTTGGTGACATTATGCCTTCCTTTTTGTATAGAGGGTGGGTGATGGGTAGTGGCTGGCAGGCGGTGTGCGTGAACCCGGGCGGTCAGAGATATGGGGTGTCACGGGTGAATTTTCAGGCAGGCATCACATGATTTGCAGCAAGAATATCGTCTGGCAGAAGTCATCGCGAGAGATCATCATTTGTGTTAAATTGTTTCGTTATTGAAGATAAAGATTAGGGACATGACACAGCTTTGTACGACCGTGAGAATCCCAAAGTCACGATGTAGTCTAAGAGAACAGCCTTCTTGGGTGACAAAATAGTCCGCCATGAAAGTACCTTGGGTACATACTCTTGGAATAAAAAATCCGTCGGAGGGTTTTGATGTATTCTATCAGAACACAATAAGATAGAGAGAACTAGTAAGAGCAGTCAAAACGTTGATGATAGTGGTCGTCTCAATCGTCCAGTACCTACTCATGACGCGTAATCCTTTCAATTTTCCGGTATTAATCCCAATTGCCTCGTTGTAAACCTCCATCAGAGCCTGGTGTTGTTTCCATAGTTCCCCTCGTAGCCGGAACGTTGTGGCCCCGTTCCTAAAGGCTGTCCAGGAGGAAGACAACGAAGCCGATTTCAACCACCAAAAACGTCAGGAAGTTATCTCCGATCTCGTAGCCTTCGACCTGCTTCCTAAACCTCTCTGCCAGAGTCAACGCTAAGCTATCGCACCATTCCGTGGCCCATTCGACAACGAAGCCGATGCAAATTCCAGAAAAGTGGTAGGAATACCTGGAAAAGGAGTTGTGCCAGGGCCAGGTAACGAACGAGTGGGTAACCGGGATTCCATAGCCCAACGTGCTAGCTGTCACGACGCCGGAAGTGTTTCCCATGCCTTGCGGCTAACAGACGATGATAATACGGTACGAGACCAGGAATGCGACGATCGCGGAGATGCCGTAGGCAATAAAGAGCTCATCCGACTCAAGAGTGCAGTGTTCGTTGCCGAGGGCCGCTAAGATGACCCAGTTCGAGAAGCCGAGAACGAGCGCAAATAAGAACACTTCGGCTCTTTTTTTTTTTTCCTCCTCAACTTAATTATCTCCCAGCTTTGAAGAGGATGTAGCGATTTGATGTGTCGCTTTTGAGACAGTAAGGGTCAAGGCACAGCGCAATACTTTTGACTAGGTTTCGAAGTTTGGCAGGTTGGCGGCGGTATGGTCATCGATGATCAAGTGGTGTGAATTTGGTGGACAGTGATTTACGAATAGTAAGGCCTATTGGTATGTATAGTGCTCGCCGGAAGGGTTGCGGGGAAAATAAGATATAGGACGTCCTGTTCCGAGGCGCGGTATACAGGAGATAGCCTCATGTCAGTATAATATGCGGATTAACTGTAATGGCCTCTCTCAAGAAGTCAGCCTCGCTGCGTCCCAACCTTTCGTGACCCCAAAAAATGCCCGTCCAACCTTGGAATCTCACTAATTTTGAGCCGCGCTCGATGAAGAAGAAGGCCGAGCCTTGGCGGCATTCCCGCCAGCGGTAATAATCTTCCTCGGCAGTGGCTCCTCCCTCGAGTTCTTGAGGGCCCTGAGAACCAGCCCCATGAACCCAGTCACACCCTCAATCCAGAACCCGACGTGAAAGCCGCTCAGCAGGCAGAATTCCCGCCCCAGAGTCTGCCCAACGCCCACAGTCCAGCTCGGGGCCGTGATCCCGTAAATGAGCGCGGGAGTGACGCCCAGGAGACTGCTGAGGAAACGCTGGTGACCCGTGCGCGGCCAGACATCGTACGCCGTGATAATCGTGCCGAACCCGGAGGCGAAGAACAAGATCGTGACGAAGACGGCGAGGAGGACTTTGCCTTCTTCGGTGCCGGTGGTGGAAGGTGGTCTCACTGAGAGGCTGCCAATTGTTGCTAGTGCTGCCAGGTTGATCAAGTACCAAGTTGCGAAATAATTTTCGGGCGCGGAATCAACATTGTTGTTCGTTTGGCTTGGCTCTGTATTGGGAGTGTCTGACTTCGTTGTCGAGGGTACTGTGGTGCTCGGGTTTGGTCCGTCCCTGCTTGCTGCAGGCTCCATTTGTGGAACTGGCGTTGGCTTTGAAGTCATGATGCTTAGAAGATGGGAAATGAGATAGCGACGACGAACTCGACCCTTCTTGTCAATAAGGAACTCTCCTTGCAGACAAAGAACTCTTCAATGATTTGTTTTGTTGCCGGCTAAAGCCTCAATATGCTGTTATTTGAACAATGGACATGTAATTGGAAAGCTAACGGTGGGGCACGGCAGAAGCATGGTACTTATGTGAGATTCGAATGGATGCGGCAACTTCGTGCCGGTAATTTGTCTCGGCGGCTTCCGATTCCTTCATAAGCCGGGCGCTGATGAGCGGGCCTTGATTGGACCCATTGACACACACTCTCTCTACCTTGCTTAAGGTAGAAGTATGCGCCATGAGGGGAGATTGGGTCGACTGCATTTTCTGGCGTCTTCATGCAACACAACACCAGCCTGACCAACTAGCTCAGTAACCCAAATACCACCGAGATGATACTGGTGGACTGCAAATTCGAAGGAGGTAAAGGCGCCGGGAAAGTGTCATTAACTGTCTAATACTTGCTAGTCTATCAAGATTGCGATTTGACCATGAAAATCTGTAAAACATGTCAGTAAGCCGTTCGCACCGAGAGCTTTCGAGGGGACACCAAAAAACGTACCGCGTTCAATGCCTTGTCATCCATAGTCGCCATCCTCTTCTGCGCGATCCACCGTGATCTCACAGCATGGTGGCCTCTGAGCACCGGCGTTGACGTACCGCTGACCGTCGGTGTTGTTGATGCGGACGCACGCTTCTCCTCCTTCTTCGCGCGCTTCTCTTCCTTGCGGCGCTTCTTCTCTTCTTTCCTCGCAGCCTTCTCTACATCCGTCTCGCCCTTGCGCTTCTTCTTTGACGACTTGTCGTCTGAAGATTCGTCGTCGTCGCTGTCGGCGGCGGCCTCCTTCTTGGCCTTCTTGCTCTTCTTCTTGTCCTTTTTCGTCTTCTTCTCCGTTGTCTCGTCCTGGGTATCTTCGGAAGCATCCTCCTTGGTCGCAGACTTTGATTTGCTGCGCTTTTTCTCCTTCTTTTCCTTCTTCTCCTCCTTCCTCCGCTTCTTCTTCGCCTTCTCGTCCTCGGAGGAAGAGGATTCGTCTTCGCTCGTATCCTCGGCCTTGCGCTTCTTTGACTTCTTGCTCGATTCGGGGGCGTCCTCCATCTTGACGTCGTCGTCGTCATCGTCACTAACCTTGTCCTTCGCTTCGGTCGTGGGTTCCTCCTTGATCTTGTCGCCGACGAGGAATCCGCCGCTCACGAAGCGCATGGGACCAAACTTATTGTCGCAGTAGAATGTGCTCTTGAGCGCCGTACGAGCCTCCTGCTCCTTGGCAATGACCTCAGTGGATTTGCCGTTCAAGCGTCCCAGGAGGTCGGAGAAGACGTCCATGCCGGTGACCCTGTCATCCCTTGCCTGCTTGAAACCGAGACCGAGCATGTCGTCCTTGAGGGCGACGCGAATGAAGGAGGCATTGGCAGCCGTGTGGTGCACCGCGTGCGCGGCGTCCTTTGCACCGAGGTACTGGCCAGGTTCCCAACCCTGTGATCGCAGGATCTTCTGGCCAAAGGAGTCGAGGTCCTTGGTCCATTTTGTGTTGTTGGGATCCTTGCCGATCTTCCGGCGACTAGGATGAGATATCAGTTAGTCATTCAAAGAGGCAAGGAAAATTCGCACGGAAAAGGTAAGCCTCACGTCTTCGCCTGTGCCAGACCCATCTTTGCGTTGTGACGGGTGCTGACCGGTGGTGATGGAAAATGGGAAATTTCGAGATGCGATAAGAGATGCAGGCCAAAGCCATTATCGCAGAGAAAAAAATCTGGTGGGGTCCCTGGTCTGGAATGTGGCACATCCCTGCAATCTGCAATCGACATCCGAAGTAGACCCGACTCACCGAAACTCACCGACCCGACCGAGGTGGGCTGTCATAATATCACCAGTCCAATCTGCCTACCGATAGTGGTTTATGATACGTACACCCAAAGCGATTGCTTGTACACACATCAAGGAGGTCTTATTTCGAAATAGATGCACATATTGGACATTCAGATAGTATATATAAAAAGAGGCAAAATGACAAAAGAGTTCACCCCCCCGGTGCTGAACTGGGGGCTACATCTCTGGTGCTCATGCTGGGACTCGAAACTGTGACCTGGCGAAGGCTAAGCCAGTTGAATAGGCTCGCCCGTAACCATCCCGCCAAACGGCAGTTTGACCTGACCTCACAAGCCTGTGTGGCGCCTGCTGCCGTTGGTGACAGGAATGGTCCTGGACCCCCCTATATGGGATCGGGCCCTTAATTCCATGAAATCCTAGAGCAATGTGGAAGGAAGCGATGGCCTACCGGGTGCAGCGTCATCCACATGAGGCCGTGCTCCTCGCCTTCTTGCCCTCCGCCTTCTACTATTGCCGAACCTTGAGGGCGAGAACATCGCCTGAGCAACTCCCGCTCGCACGCCCACCTCAGCCACTGCCATTCCGCCATTGGACGACGGCACCAAGGCCATCTAAATCTTGGTCTTCCCCCTGATCGTTCAGTCGACTCCGTCCAGGACATCGTCGCGATTCTACAAGCACTACAAGCGTAGCCATCATATTCAATCCATCAGGGCGAACAGTGTTCAACCGCTGGAAGCAGCCAACGTATCTACGCGCATGGTCGAGGAATGGAGTACCAAGCTGATTGCATGAGAGGGGCAATACGACATCACCTAGCGCAGGGCAGTTTACTACAGCGATAAGAATCGCAGGCACACAGGGCTTAGAAGAGTCGAAATGATTTCTCTATTCCCCAACGCCGTATGAAGTATGCTCGGTTCGTACTGTACACAAGAACTATCGTCGCATGTATTCGCCCAATTATTCTTTGTTTTCCCCCTTGTCGGATGCTTATACAGTGAAGCCGAATCCCTTCATGCAAGCTCGGTACTGGTCGATCGTGGACAGGCAGTCCTTGGACGGGTCGGCGGCGTTGGAGAATAGCATGCACTCGTCACGCTTGGCCTTCTCGTCCTTGCATACGCAGCAGGGCTACAATCGCATCGACTCGTCAGTATCTCACCTTCGTCGAGCTACACTTATCGAGGGACTTTGGTCCGGGGAGGGTCTTTGCGCACCTTGGGCTTGGATTCCAGGCTGGCAGCCGGCGCAGCGGCCGGGGTGGCGATTGAAGCTGTAAGCAAAGTTCGTTAGCCATTGCGCGTTGATGAGATGATGGAATGTGTTCCTTACGAAGAGCAGCAGCTTGGGATGCCATTTTGAAAGCGAAGCGAGCGTCGGGCTGTTTGGTAGGTGGTTTGCGACAAAGATTTGGCAGGCGGAAAGGATGGCTGTCGAAGTGGTCTTGATCGAACCACTTTTTTTCCGCTGACTGACCTCACCACAGCTGTCGCATTTGTCAGTCGCTCCAATTTCGGGAGACTTCGGCGCCATGGCCCCAATCACGCCTTTAAAAGGTCACGTGTGTTGGCGGCCATCTCGCGCATTGTTTTGATTGTCGAGTTTTTTTCTCTCAATGAAATACATCTCGAATTTTCAGTTAGTTGTAAGTCAAGCGGCACAGCCTCCTTCTTTTCTCTTCAGGTGCGAGACGATCCATGCCGTGGTCCTTCAAAGAATCCAGGTCGTCAGCGAACCCCGTCAGCCTGGAACTGTTTTGGCCGGAGACTGTTCCGCATTTGCGGGGCTCCGATCGCCTCCGGAGAGTGGAGACCTCGGACTCCGGATCCTCATCAGACGCAAGGAGCTTTGAAGCTACCAACGCTAGTGAATGCACCTAGTATGAGTGAGGGGTTGGAGTTCCGTTCACATCGTCTAATCCGTCAATCCGCTAGGAATACGGCTGATGATGTCCAAATGATCTGCAGGTTGTCGGCATGAATTCAGTCCGTTCTGACTTTCGTGCAATGTAATGGCTGGTATGGCAGGCTGGTAAATTGATGAGCTTGACTGAGATTCCCCCACTTTGAATTGCAACTTTGAATTGAATCAACACCAAGCTTATCTGGTTCCCTTGGAAACTCCTGTGGAAACTTCGCTTGAACTTCGCGCTGTCGAGAAATCTTTTGGCGCATGATATCAGAAGCCGCAGCGATGTTATCCTTTGAAGAAACATTGGCTCTCGCTGAGCCCAACGCCGAGTTCACAGAGGTGATTCGGAGTACAAAACTCATTGCATAGCATTGTTGACCGTTCTCGCAGCTTCAACGGGTCAGCCCAATCAGGGTCGGCGCATGGAACAAGGACACAGACATCAACCAGATCCGAGGCATCATGGCTAAGGTCCTCGAGGCCAGAAACGCCGCCAAGCCCGACCCATCTACTCTGCCCTACGTAGAAGAGGATATCAACATCACCGTGAGAGATGGGGCGTCGATTGACGTTCGCATCCACAAGCCCAAGGCCGTCTCTGACGACGGTTATCCTGTCCTGGTAGCGTTCCACGGTGGTGGATTCGTCATTGGCGACCTGGAGGGCGTAGGACCTCTCTGCCAGCTGTTCACAGCGCTTGGAGGTATCGCGGTAAACGTGGATTATCGTTTGGCTCCAGAGCACCCCTTTCCTGTTCCCGTACAGGATTGCTTCGATGCTATGAAATGGGTAAACCGACCTTACTCAGCTGTGAAAGTCTGATTGCTCCTGTATATGAAACTAACTTGGGACAGACCGTTGAGAACGCGGGTGACCTTGGAATCAACCTATCAAAGGGCTTCCTCGTCGGCGGCGAGAGCGCAGGCGCCGACTTGGCTCTAGGTGTAACTCGTCTTTGGATAGACGAGAAACAGTCGCCAAAGCTGACGGGCATCTTCTCGTCCATCTCCGGAGCCGTTGCCGAGGACAGCGTTCCTGAAGAGTACCGAGACCGTTTCTTGAGCCTGAAGCAAAACGCTCAGGCCCCAGTCGTGACCGCAGACTCGATAGAGGTCATCAAAGGTGAGATCCATTACCAGACGGGCATTCGGGAAGCTGAAAGTAGCATCGTCATAGACATGTACAAGCCGGACCCTACAAGCGCGCTGGCGTACCCTATCATCTCGCCGGATCTGACAGGCATTCCTAGAACGTACTTCCAGGCTTGCGGACTTGATCCGGTGCGAGACTGCACGCTCATCATGGAGCAGGTTTGGAAGGATGCGGGAATACCAACCAAACTTGATGTCTATCCCGGCCTACCTCACGGCTTTTGGGCACTGTTTCCCCAGGCAGATTTTAGCAAGAAGCACCGGGAAGACCAAAAGGCCGGTCTCGAATGGTTGTTGAACAAGGACTCGGCATAGCTGACTCACACAGGGCACTAATAAGGCCACTTTCTATATGCTCCTCTCTCCAGACGCCAGATAATTCGCAGCTTCGAATCTTCTCCAAGTTCCCTCAGAAATTATAGAAATAAGGCCTTATGTTCCTGAAATAAATTGATTACAAGCCGCGCCAATTAATGCTATGAAAACACAAACGCGTCGTTGAGAAAAAGAAAGTTTAAATGATGATAGGGGCGCCATCCCTGGAAATGTAGTGGCTTTGACCCCTGTAAGCTCCAAACTCGAGTGGAGCACCCCTGCAACCTCTCAACGCGCTCCCGCCCGGCAGACGCGACGACTAAATGGAAGGAAATCGGGGGGGGGGTCGTCTCCAATTGACATCACCAACGACGTTCAAAACTCCCATCTCCCATTGCACAGTCCCTCAACCCCCAAAAAGGCCGCCAGCTCCCCGTGAGCACCTCTGGTCTAATATGGCGCCCAAATCGAAACCGCCTGAAAAGAAGCAGCAGTCGCTCACAAACTTCTTCCAGCCAAAGACCGTCAATGGCCTCGCCGCCGCCTTCCAAAAGTCGCAGTCCGAAGCACGAACGAGCCCGCCTGAGTCGCCCGAATCCTCGCGCAAGCGTCCCCTGGAGGAGGACACGGATAGGGGCAACAATGGGCTGGACAAGAGCTCCAAGAAAGCAAAGGGAGATAAGGATGCCAAGGCGAATGCTGCGGATCAGGGGAAAAGCTCTTTCTTTACACCAGAAACCAAGCCGGCCGCCGAGCCTGAGCCCAAGTCCAAGGCTTCTGCAGCCTCCGCTAGGACGGGACGGTTTGCCTACAGCCAGAATTCAGATCTGAACGAGGAGGACGACGAGGAGGACCAAGATCCGTCCACGATGCAGCGCAAGGAGGAGCTACACAAGAAGTTTGTCAAGAAGCTGGGCCATCCGGACAGTATGCTATGGCGGCGCCGGAGAGGAGACGATAACGAAGCTGCCGAGGAGGAGGAAGGTGAAGGCGACGAAGATGAAGACGAAGCCCCGCCGGCCCCCAAAGCGAAGAAGGGCGGTGCGAGAGCGAACAAGAAGCTCACGCCCATGGAGATCCAGTTCCTCGACATCAAGCGGAAGCATCTGGATACGGTCCTCATCGTAGAGGTGGGCTACAAATTCCGATTCTTTGGCGAAGATGCCCGTGTTGCCGCCAAAGAGCTCAGCATCGTGTGCATACCTGGCAAGTACCGGTACGACGAGCACCCCTCCGAAGCACATCTGGAAAAGTTCGCCTCTGCGAGTATTCCGGTACATCGACTGCCCGTTCACGCCAAGCGCCTCGTTGCTGCTGGTCACAAGGTCGGCGTGGTCCGCCAAATCGAGACAGCCGCACTGAAGAAGGCCGGTGACAATCGCAACGCCCCGTTTGTCCGGAAGTTGACCAACGTCTACACCAAGGGCACCTACATTGACGAGAATGGCGAACTCGAAACAGGTGGTGATGGTGGCGCTCCGTCCGGTGGCTATCTGCTCTGCATCACTGAGACTCCTACCAAGGGCCAAGGCACCGACGAGAAGGTTGACGTCGGCATAGTAGCCGTACAGCCGACTACGGGAGACATCATTTACGACACATTCGAGGACGGCTTCATGCGCAGCGAAATCGAGACCCGGCTGCTGCACATTTCGCCGTGCGAGTTCGTCATCGTCGGCGACCTCACAAAGGGGTCAGACAAGCTCATTCAACACCTCTCGGGGAGCAGCACAAACGTCTTTGGCGACCGCAGTCGCGTCGAGCGCGTCCCGCGCACAAAGACCATGGCCGCCGAGGCATACTCCCATGTCACGCAGTTCTACGCCGACAAGCTGCAGCAGACCCCCGACGCCGACGCCTCGGCTCTCCTCGAGCGCATCCTCCATCTCCCCGAGCCCGTCACCGTCTGCCTCTCCGCCATGATCAGCCACCTGAAGGAATACGGCCTCGAGCACGTCTTTGACCTCACAAAGAACTTCACCAGCTTCTCCGCGCGCCAGCACATGCTCCTCAACGGAACCACCCTTGAGGCCCTCGAGGTCTACCGCAACGCCACCGACCACTCGGAACGCGGCTCTCTCTTCTGGGCCCTGGACAAGACTACCACCCGCTTCGGCCAGCGCCTCCTTCGCAAATGGGTAGGCCGGCCTCTTCTTGACGTTGCCCGACTCGAAGAACGCGTCGCTGCCGTCCAGGAGCTCGTCGACGAGCAGTCCTCCGCAAAGGTTGACCGTCTAGAGACCCTCCTCGCCGGCACAAAGACGGACCTCGAGCGCAGCCTCATCCGCATCTACTACGGCAAATGCACCCGCCCCGAACTTCTCTCCGTCCTCCAGACACTCCAGCGCATCGCCATGCAATACCCAACCGTCAAAACCGCTGAGGAAACAGACTTCACCTCCCCCCTCATCGCCTCCGCCGTCCTCTCCCTCCCCCAGATCCTCGACCTCGTCGTCTCCCACCTCGACAAGATCAACCCCGAGGCCGCCCGCAAAGACGACAAGTACAACTTCTTCCGCGAATCAGAACAGACCGAAGACATTGAAGACCACAAAATGGGCATCGTCTCAGTCGAACAAGCCCTCGACGAGCACCGCGCCGACGCCGCCGCCTCCCTCAAACGGAAGAAACCCGTCGACTACGTCACCGTCTCGTGCATCGAGTTCCTCATCGAGGTGCCCAACACGGATCTCAAATCCGTCCCGGCCTCGTGGATCAAAATCTCGGGCACAAAGAAGCTCTCCCGCTTCCACACCCCCGCCGTCGTCCGCCTCATCGCCGAGCGCGACCAGCACCGCGAGGCCCTCGCCGCCGCCTGCGACGCTGCCTTTTCCGGCCTCCTCCGCACAATCGCAGACGCCTACCAACCCCTCCGCGACGCCGTCTCCTCCCTCGCCACCCTCGACTGCCTCCTCTCCCTCTCCCGCGTCGCCGCCCTCCCGGGCTACAGCAAGCCAACCTTCCTCCCCTCCACCACCAACAAACCAACAATCTCCATCGCCCAAGGCCGCCACCCCATCGCAGAACACACCCTCTCGGACCCCTACATCCCTTTCACCACCACCCTCTCCTCCCCTTCCCCGCTAGCCCACCTCATCACAGGCCCCAACATGGGCGGCAAATCCTCCTTCGTCCGCGCCGTCGCCCTCCTCGTCCTCCTAGCCCAAATAGGCTCCTTCGTCCCCGCCGACGCTCTCTCCCTGACCCTCACAGACGCAATCCACGTCCGCATGGGTGCCCGCGACAACCTCGCCGCCGGCGAATCCACCTTCATGGTCGAGGTCTCGGAAACAGCTCGGATTCTCCGCGCTGCCACCCCGCGCTCCCTCGTCATCCTAGACGAGCTAGGCAGAGGAACCTCAACCCATGACGGTGCGGCCATCGCCCACGCCGTCCTCGACCACGTGGTTCGCGAGAATAGGTGTCTCACCCTCTTCATCACGCACTACCAGAACCTCGCCCGCCTAGCCGAGGGAATCGGCGAAGGTCTCGTCAAGAACGTCCACATGCGCTTCACGGCTACCCGTAAAGCCGGTGCCGGGGCCGGAGCTGAGGAAGGTGACGTTGATGGGGATGATGACTCGGGTGCCGATGAGGAGATTACGTTCTTGTACGAAGTTGGCGAAGGTGTTGCACACAGGTCATATGGACTGAATGTGGCTCGTCTGGCTCGTATACCCCGCAAGGTCATTGATGTCGCCTCGCAGAGGTCGCGCGAGATGGAGCAGGACGTAAAAGTCCGGAGACTAAGAGGCACCGCTCGTCTTCTCGCCGAAGTGCTGGAGACGAATCCCGACCAGCTTGATCATTTGATCTCAAACATTGAGCAATTGTAGTCAAACGTATCACAGACAATTCAAATAAAACATCTGTACTATGAATCCCTGTGTTATTTCTCGAAAGTGCGTCTCCCGTCCCTAGTTGGCGCGGTATGACTGCGAAGAACCGAAAACTGCGCTATCTATAGCCTCCTATGCCTACCGAAACAAAAAAGTCGATGGGTAAAGTTCTAGAAACCTAGCGGGGCTCGTTGCAGTGCCACTGCGTATGAATGTTCCACCACATTCCCCATGATTCCTTGCGTGCAAGTATCAAGCAAGCCTAGCAGCATGTGTCCTATTCTCGCCCTCTCAACTACCCCGTGTTCCGCCCCGACGCTATCAGGCGAGGCTCCGCAAGCAAGCCTAGTCGTTCCCAGAGGAAAGCTCACCACACCTCGCCCTGAGCCCGAAGAGGTCTGGTGATAGAACGGGACGCAAGTGAAGATTGCGTATCTACTCGAACAACTGTATTGTATCAGCACTGCTCAACTCCGCCTTCGCCAGAAAGTTAGACATACTTGAAAAGAAAGAAGTGAAAGAACGAATCCCAGATGAAGAGTCTTTCGAACCCCCAGATCCGCATACCCAACGTTCCCGCCATGGTGGCTTGTGATGAACCCATGCCGCTAGCGGGAATGCCATCGAGTTACGCAACTAAGCCCCATGTCCATTCTGGTACACGCCCGAGCCCTGAGCGTGGTCATGGTGGCCGGTGGGGAATGTGTTCGGCATGGTCATCTGCTGAGAAAACATCATATGCTGATGGTTGTGGTTGGCATTGATGGGGTTGAATCCATGGTGGGCGGGGCGCATCATCGGGTTACCCCAGAGCTGGTTGAACTGGTACATGTCAGGCATCGGGTATGCCTGGTAGAGGTTGGGGTCGAATGTGATGTTATTGGACATTCCGGCCTGGTTCAAGTGAGTGTTGTTGACACCATACAAGTCACCGCTTGCCATCTTGTGTTCCTGTACATCATTGTTATTCTCCTTTCCTTTGAACATTCGACGTGGAAGTTGCTTCGCAACCGGAGTAGGGGAGGCCATGCTCAGATTTGAGTTCGCGTTCATCGACCGGAGGGGTATACGATTGCGGACATCGAATCTGCGCACATAGGGGTTAATACACACAACATTACTAACATGATGAGGGTTGTTGGGGATGGACCTAGGCTCATCCTTGACCGCAGTCGAAGCCTTGGTGCCTGTAACGGAGTCAGTGGGTGAGCAGGAGGAAGGATGTAGTACAGGAACTTACCGGCAGCGCTGCCACCTTGGAACACATCGGCACCCCGACCAGGAACGGTGGTGAAGTACTTGTGGGAAGGATGCTGGCCCAAGCCTAGCTCTCCATCGTTGAGAGACTCGTCAAGCTCCACATCGCCTCCAACGTAGCCGAGAGCATCACTGTCACCGTCGGCGGTGCTAGCGATGTCGCTCGTGACATCGAACTTCTCCGAGAGGGACTCGTTGTCGAGCTCAGAAACTTCCTCCTGCTTGTAGAGACCATTCTGGATCTGCATAGCCAGAGCAGAAGATGCCCGATGAGCGGCATCGTTAGCGGGCTCCTCCTTGACAACAATGCCCGAGGCGTTGTCATCCTCCTCTGCGGCACCAATACGTCTCTGACGACGTCTGGACTTCTTGACGGCCTGTTTGAGTGATCAGGGTGATTAGTGGATTGCTTCTTTGCCAAATAGCCTATGATTTAACTAACCGGAGTTCCCTCGACGGAAGGTGCGTCGTAGACATCACGAGTTCTCTCGAACTCCAAGTCCAGATTGGCCACTATCTCCATGGTGGTGATTGCCTGAGACGAAAGCTCCATCTTGCGAAGCACAGAGGCGTCCTTGCGCTGGTTGCGCTGTTTCTTCTGGTCAGGAGTGGCGGCATCAAAGATGCCCATGCCCGGCCAGACGGTTCCCTTGAGTCTGGCAGACTCCAAGTCATCGGGGCTCCACTCAGTGGAGTTATCGGTGGGAGTCGAAGCCGAGACATTGTCATTGTCGCCATAGTACGTGATGGCCTGCTGCTGGCCAAGGAGCCGACCAGTGGGAGGAGGCGTGAACATCGAGTTATCACCCTCACGCTTGACAAGGATCGAACGAGCCTTCTTTCTCTTGAGGGTCTGTTACAGTCAGCTCATGAAGAAAGATTTGCTCAAGAGGTAGCCTACCTGAGAAGCTTGCTGTCCAGGTCGCGAGATACCTCTCGCCTTCTCATCCTTAGCCTTGAGACGCTCTGCAAGCATACGCTCGATACCATAGTCCTTGTACCACTTATCGTAGGTGGCGATTGCCTCCGAGGCGGCAAGGTCATCATTGGAGCGAATTCTCACATCGTTCTGGGTCTGAAGATGGCCCTTGGAACTGAGGTGGGTCAGAAGATGGGACAGGTCGGAGAAGCGTGGGGTGCTCGGGCAGACAATGCAGACGAGGGGAATTCGAGGACTGCCCGAGGGCTTAGGGTCATCGGATGGGTCCCCGGAGTCGGAGGCTTTGCCACTGGTTTTGACAGTGAACGACTTCTCGATCTTGATAGGCTTGAGTTGCTTGGTCTTGGATGCTTTAAGCAGCTTGACCGGGGTGACATCGTCGGCCTCGTGGGCTGCAACAGCGGCCATGTTCTACCCAGAGTCAGCATTAGCAGCCCCAATTCAATGCATGCAACCAGTCGTTACTGACTAGCCGTCTTTCCATGGTCTGAAACAGAGCCAATGGGATGGAAGACAAGCTTGTCTGCTCGTAGTAACCAAAACACAAAACGAGGGGAGGAAGAGAACGATAGATATTCCGAATAACAGCAGACAGAGGGAGGGAAGCACCCAGCAATGAAAGCCAAAGAGTGAAGTCGAAATGCTCAAGGCAAATGGGAGGTGGCAATGGAAGAAAAGGGTGGTTGTGATGGGAGGAGGAGTGTCAATGTTTGGGAGTATCCGACGAAAGAACGGATGCATCGACAACGACTCTTGTGCAAGCCCTGAGGGTGGACATAGATTCCAGATAGGAGAAGGGATGTACTTACGGCTTCCGCAGCAAGAGCTGCCTGACGTCTGGGAGCCATTTCGGAAAGACGGGAAGAATGATGTTATCCATAGTAACAACAAGCTTGCCGTCCAAAATGAAGGGAGAAGGTACGCCGATATGAGATCGAAATGCGGTAAGAGGTGGTTCTCGAGGTTCTGGTACTCTTTCCTGGAAATGCGTTCGTCAGTGACAGATTCTTCGGTAATGCAGGACGCTGTGATAAGAGCTCTTTCCCAACAGCTTGGAAACCTGTGGAACGAGCAGAGGCAAGTCCTAGTCTTGTCACCTGACGGAAAGGGGCAACGTCATTCTGAGGAAGGCGCCGGCGATTCGGGCCCCAAAGCCCCCGGCCTGAACATGTCGTCGCCGACCATCTGGCCATTGGCCCGGGAGAACGGCGGCAATTCGATGCTTGGACTCCCGTCCGATTGGCAACCCGGCCATGTCGCAACAGACACGCCTCACTCACAGGAAGAAGGTGAATGGCTTACCAAAGTACCACGGATTGAGGTCAAGTTGAGAGATCAGCTGTTGATGCTGAAAACCATGGATAAGAGACGGGATATCTTGTGTCTTTTTCTGTATCGATAGATTGGCTTCGTTAGTAAGGGCTTCTCTCGAAAAACTTGTGATTGTCGAGGGATTGGCTCACCGAGTGTCCTGAAAACCGCGAAAAGACTCTCTGAGAAGAATCGCGTATGTTTCTGAATTGCTGCGCTGGCTGATAGATTGTATCGCCAATTCAAGGAACTAGATTGCTTCTGTAATGAAAGGTAAGTATGAGTAGGTCAAGACTGTTGATGTGGTTGTAGAGGAAATGAAGAAGAGTTTGAGTTCCAGTCTAGAAAAAAGAAAAAAAGAAGAGACTGGAGCGGGTGCAGAGAGCCCAGGGCTGTTGCCATCCCTCGGCAGTAGGACCAAGACGGCGAGAGCAGAGTCTGGCTCTCGCCATTCCTGGTTGAACAGAGCCGGCGGGAATAGAGGCTGGTTCTCGCCATTGTAAGTTGTCAGAACTGGCGAGAGCAGAGAGCAGCTCTCGCCGTCTCATGTCCAGTGAGAATGGCGAGATCAGAGGATAGCTCTTGCCGTTCCAAATCAAACAGGGCTGGCAGGAACAGAGACTGACTCTCGCCGTCCTAACTTGAACAAAACTGACGAGATCAGACGCTGGCTCCCGCCGTCTCAAGTCCAACAGAAGTAGCGGGATCAAAGACTGACACTCGCCGTCTCAACTTGAAGAAGACTAGCAAGACCAAAGACTAGTTCTTGCTATTCCAGAATGAACAGGACTGGCGGGAGCCACCTGAATCAAACAGAGCTCTTATGGCGGGAACAGAGATAAGCACTTGCTATCTCTGTGTTGGAAAAAAGGGGCCAGGTCAGGAGCACACTTCAGAGTGGCTCTCACCTCTTGTGTTTGAGAGAAGACGTAAACCAGATAGTATAGTTCCAGCACTTGCACTTGCAAGAACTTCTGAACGTACCACTGAGAACATAAAATCTCACCTAGAGCTTGAACAATCTTCCAATATTCATAGGTAGAGACGAAAAGAGCATGCAAGGACGAGTGATAGCACTGAATAGCTGCGATAAGAGTCTTGTTCAGACGGGGCACCTCAGAAATGAAAGGTTGCGACGAAATGGGCAGTGCGATGAAAATGCTCACTCGATGAAGTGTAGACCGAGACGGAAATGGGACTCGATGGCGAGATTCACCCAGTGTGACAAGAACAGTGATATCAACACAAAAGACGGAAGTTTGTAGCAGAATGCGACAAAAGAGAAGGACCAATCTGAAAAGCATTGGACGAAGAAGACATAAAGGTGGAAATGTGGAAAATGAAGCCAAAGAAGGCGTTTGATAATTATGTTGACGTGAAAATAAACAACGCCACGTACCTAGTTCCTGAACTTCCTGGTAAAAGGGCGTTGGCGTAGAAAAAAAGTATTCGAAGTGCCTCTTGTCGATGCCAATCTGTGAATTGCTGAAATCCCTTCGTGGATAGCCGAGGAGGATGAGGATATTTGTCCTGAAAGCAGTGCTTAGTGATGTGTTTTGCGACAGTGAAGGCGATCTGATGATGACCATACAGATGAATCCGGGCCGAGTAGAGAGATACAGATGCGACGGTGTTGTACAGACGCTTGTAATTTGAGAGAGGCGGAGGTGTTGTGACAGGGTGGTATTCGAAGCAGAGGGAAAAGCCCAGACAGGCGATCGAATGAGACGATCAAAGTCCAAGAGTTGGTGTGTTGGTGGATGGAATCTCCAAGAGGTTGAAGATATCGAGACTTCCGACGGTATGGAAGAAGAAGTTGGATTCGTTTTGATGGTCGTGGAGGACGAAGTGTGCGAGACGAGGAAGGCAGACGCGTGTGGTGGAGCCGCTCGGTGAGCGGGTGGGCGGTCTCCTGTGGTGGAGGGCAGTATCACGGAGACGCTAAGCCTGCACCGACCGCGAGGCACGTGACTGGGTGATTTGATGCCGAAAGAGGATATGGGATGAGGGGCGGGCGGTGTGAGGGTGTTCTCTATGCGAGTTCGAGATTAGGCCGCGGGGGGTGGGTGGTGAGGCAGTGAAGCGTGCCAGGGGCACAAGTTCGATTTTCGTCCGCGGGGTTTTGGCGACATAAAACTAGATTTCGGATGACAGTATACCAGAATAAAATGCGATGTTTGAAGTATTAGAGTTAGTTAGAGGAGAATAGCGTAGCAGCTAATTGACCAGGCACTAGAATGCGTAAACTTGAGCAGTTTGGACAGATTGGTTACGTATATAACTCCAAGAAAGCACGATACGTATGTTACAGGACAGAAGCCGGTCATGTATTACTTCATTTATCATTAAGTTGTTCTCATGGGTATCTGAAGCCTTCAAAGTGTCCCAAGTAGCCATCTCAAAGCGAGTCGTGAGTGCGACGACGCAGCACATGAAGATGCTAACACCGTTTGCTTCGCTCTCGCCCTGTATCCTCATATCTCTACTCCCGTCGCAGGCCACAAGTCTGTAAGTCACGGAAGTGAACGCGTATCAGATGTCTGCCTTCAACCGTATGCCCCCCTGTCAAGTCGGGCAAAGAGTCTGTATCCCTCTCAACAGCTCATGACAACTTCCTCCCCAACACCCGATCAACAATCGGCTTCGGCATACAATACACCGGATCAACCTCCACCGTCCCCGGATACCCCAACAAACTCAACCCCGTCATCCCAAAACACGTGTGCCACACATCGACCGTATTCCCAGGCCGATCCGAAATGCCCCCCAACTCCTGATCCTGACACCGCAAAATGAACGCCACAAGCTTCCCCCGATCAATCCAGTGTGTCCGCCCGATAATCTCGAGACTACTCAACACCCACCAGCTATAACACACATCCTCGTCCTTCTCTGGCCTGCCATTCAACCCGCCACCAGCAACCTGCCGCTCGCTAAGCCACCGGCCCAGCTTATCCGCCTCCACGAGGTCCAGCCGGCCCGCGATGGCCAGCGCCGCCACGCACGTGAAGATTTGGCCTGAGTGCGACTCGTCGCCGGGACTGACGCCGTACCCGCCGTCGAAATTGGTGCAGGCGACAATGTGCGCGACGGCCTTGTCGACGTCCACGAGGGAGAGCAGGCCCAGGAGGGAGAGGGCGTTGAACGCGCCATACAGAAAACGCGTGTCCTCCTCGCCCCATTCGTCTCCCGCAAAGGTACCGCTTTCACGGTTCTGGAGATCCGCAACGACTTGAGACGACCATGTTAGCATCGTAACGAGAGAGAGGAGTGTGTGATGTAATGAACTTACACTTGCCAACCCGCGCCTTCCCCTTCCCCCTCGCCTCCAACTCATCCAGCGCATCAATCATGACCAGAATTTGCACAGCACTAACAGTGTACAGCATATGTGCGTCATGGCCCGGCGCGGCCCCGAACCCGCCGCTCTCATGCTGGCACGAGAGCACGAAATCAATCGTCTCAGCGCGCGGGAGAGCCTCCGGATGGCCGAGCAGGTGCAGCGCGACCAGGCCCCAGTAGAGGCCGTTGAGGCGCAGGTGTTCCGTCAGCCAGTAGTCGTACTCGTCTTTGCGGGTATCCAGGCTCTGGACGTATTTCACGTGCGCCGCCGTCGCGAGCTTGAGCTCGTCTGGCAGATTCTCGAATTGGGCCGCCATGACGCCGCCACTTCTTTTTTTAGTTCGGGTTTTCCCACTTTTGTAGTACTTGATTCCGGGTATTACTAGCCTGGGAAGAATCAGAAAGAATTTATGAAGAATTAAAGCCGAACTTGGTCTTTTCAGTAATACCTAGGCAGGCGTAAGAGGATGGATGAGGTGAGGTTGTCCGCTTAGGTAATGGTGGTCAGGGCCGGTACGCATGGTTCCGCCGACTGCCGGCCCGTGGAGTGTGGGGTGGCCTCACCGAGGTGTGTAGCCTGCGCCCCATGCTCAACGGAGCCGAAGGTAACGTCCGTGACGTCTTCATTGCCCGGAAACTTCTCGTCGCCATGATACTTGGTGATAACCTCGCTCACTTTAGGTGGTGATACAGTATCACTTGAACTGCGGCCAGCTCAAATGCCAATCCAATCACTGGATTTGCAGGTTCTAGAAATCCAACAGATGACTGAGAGGCAGAACCCAGCTCATCTTAGTCCTGCGGTCATTCCATAGGACTGGGTCATGTTCCTGGCAATAGACCATACTTCTATACTGCGGAACCATGGGACCCAAAGCAGCGCGACCAAATCGGATCGTTTGGCATAGCCCCATCTTCTTTCTGACCTCATTTACAACAGCCCTATCTAACCGGACTACAAGTAACTACCTCCATCAAGATGAGGAGGATAGTGCTTGGTACGGCTATTGATAGCGGCACAGAAACTCATCTCGCAGAACCTTGCGGACCAACAAACGTTTGATCTTGTAGTTATCCCGGATAGGTAGCCAGATGGCGGGAAAGTACTTTAGGTTTTGGGATCGACGACAAGGAAGGATTAAAAAACCGCTCTTTGGCCCGATCTCATCCCCGGTGGATGAAGATTACGCAAGACCCATCATCAAAGTATCGCAAGTAGAGATGGAGTCTCCAACGCTGCTCTGAAGGGTTACTGTACACAGTAGAAAGGCAAGAATGGAGCGGGGGCAAAATGGGCAGTGAGAAGAAGATTGGTGCAGGCTTGATCCTGCGAATAACCTCATGCCCGCCGGGCGAACTATGACATATCGGGCACCCCTCCTGTCTTTTTGAGATGGCGTGGGCCAGAAGCTTGCTCTCTCCCGAGTAAGAAGAAGCGCTGTGTCGGGCCCAAACCTGCGCATCCAGACTCTAAAGTCGCGCCCCCTCCTCCGTAAGCATACACAGTACCTACCTTGCGGATACGTGCCATTTCCATATCCGTATTGACGGCGGCATCCATCATTCAGGTTGTGCCAGGCGGCCCAGGCCAGGAGCCAGCAGCACCAGAGGCGAAGCCACGCTGCCACGCTGCCATGTGCGCGTACCAACCCTCTTTTCTGGGTCTCTTCCGTCCGGACACCGTTCGGGGCGTTGTTGACATTTACACATTGTACCCACACCTTGCGGGGCTTTTCCCAGCGTTTGTCGAAGAAACACTACCGAGTTTCAGAGTGATCGGTTGTGTGCCTGAACTAAGCTCTTCTCGGACCGAGACTGTTGACATTGAGAATCAGTCCTGTGCGGATCTTGGCGGCACTGATAGAAACCAAGTACCCCGAATGCAGAGTGTTGTATTAGGTGTTCCATCTTTCTTGACATGGCCCAGGGAGACTCGTCAATGTTTCCAGAGCTGATGTACTCCGTACTGAACTAACAATTACAAAAGCTCGGTGGGCTTGACAACATCAAACCATACCCGAGGAAGATCGCCGCGGCAAGTGGGTAACTCTCATACGGAGTAGACGGGATGTCTACCAGCTAACGAACCCGCTATACACTTGAAGGCAGTTAACCGTTGACGACATGCCGTGGGATGTGAGTTGATTGTAGTGATGCGGAATGTTCGAACTGCAGCCAAAACACAGTGGGTTACTGGATCTGTAGATAGCTGGTATCGGATGTAAGCAACTTCAACCACCTTCGACTATTGATGCCGAGGTAACTCCTCCACAACAAGCATACAAAGACCAATGCCTAGTAGTGGCTGAGAGAGGGATCTTGTTCCATAACATGGAAATGCTTCCTTCTTGACAAATGAATTAACAGTAAGCGCTGCAATGCCGATTGCATACCTGAGAGAATTCAACGCTCTCATCGCGGACGACAAGTAACGAGCCCAGTGGTGGCGCCTTTCTGAACATCTTCATTGACAATTCGGGACTTGGTACAAGTGAGAATGACGACAGCTCCAGCCTATAGTTCGGCAGAGTTTCTACCACTTCTGCGCCATGACCCGTCGTCTCGTCCCTCTGGATAACTTTGCTCAAAAATAGCCCTCTGACCAAAGAGAATGCACGTTTTCGGCACAATCCTGTGAGATAAGGCTTGAGCCGGCACGTTGCGGCAACGCTTGACGTGCTCGGTTCGAAACGAAAGCTAGGATAAGCACGTTGGTTGGTTGCCAACCAGTCCGAGGCTTACGACTTGGGAGGCGATGATATGCTAGATGGCTTCGTTTTGCCTGTGCTTTGCAGATGGGCGTGCAGTAGCGCGACTCCTTGCCGTCAGATCAGTGGGCAGTCGGCAAGCTTCTCTTCTTGTCGGGCCAGGGAGACAAGTTGAGCGAGTCGAACCGAGCTCGTCGTTGGACGGAGCAAGGGGATCTTCGACTCGGGCTTCCAAACACTCTGGAAGGGTCTGAACGTGCAGAAGAACCGCACAGAGTGCATCGGTAGCGTGCTGGCTGCGTCGCGACTTGTCACATCACGCCAGATCAGTCTGTTGCTCCGTTTTCTGTCGGCAACGCCTAGCCTCGTCTTGCAAGTGTAGTGTTCTGACACGTCGTGCTCCATATGACAGGCTACTTCAGCCCTCATCCCTCCCTTCACCTTTGAGGTAATCCGCTCGTGGTCAGTCACCTGAACTTGCGCAGCGCCTATCGGAGTTCGGAGGTGCCGTCACCACGACATATAACGGCGCACAGCTTGATGCCCGAGCGATGGGACCACAGACGGCCGCAATGCTGCGGAGTCACTGACCGTCTCGGTATTGCCAATCAATGTATCCCGAGATAGACGACTGAAGAGACCGCTGTTTCCAAGGTGTGTCCGGAAGTTGTGTCATGAGGTCACGCAACGCTTAAAGCTTACATGGGCAGCTGCAAGCAGTAAGTGCCCCTGGCGCTGCTCACATTCCAGGCGATACAAAACGTGGCAATCCTAGAATCAATTGTGTTTCAAGAGTTTGGCCGCCTGGTAGTTCAACAGGCAATGTCAAGTTGTGTAGGGCACTCGTTCAATGCCTTGGCATGGAGCACCGACGGAGCCTACTCCTAACGACATTCCTTACAGCTCAGCATCCGTACATAAGCTTGTAAAGGAAGACGCGGTCACCGCCATCGGAATAACTCTCCTCGATTGGCCTAGGCCATATCGGGTGCTGAGTCTAATTATGCCGCTTGCGAATACGAATCGTGATACGGATGAGAAGACCATCGATATGTTTGGGGTGTTTTTCTTTTTCGGCACATACAATGCGCCCAAGCTGGAGGACACCATTGAAGAATGGCCTGGTAGTCGTCGCCAGTTCAAAGAAGGCACTTGTAATGCTGACCTGATGGTGAGGCGGGCATGGTTGAGTCTGCGACCCAAGAAGGCTCGTCCAGAATAGTGCTTGGCAGGTATGGCTTCCCAATAGCTTGAGCAATGTCAATGTCAAACAGACGTGCGTTGCCCGAATCGACACTACAGGAGGACCGGACCGCGATCTGTGCGCAGCGACTGGTGGATGAGACTGGCAAGCGGCAAGCCGTTGGCCTTGTTCGTTGTCGGTCGACTAAGGCTGTTGACGCAACTAGGCCGCAAGCAGCCATGGCTCTTCAGACGTCTTTGGTGGGTAGAAGACCGCTTGAGGTAATTGCAGTGACGAGGGAGAATGGATCAAGTAAGGAGGCAGATTGAAGAATGTATCGGATTCAATCGCCAGAGCCGCATTGAGGCCTGACCGGCACTTTACGGCATCAATGCGCCAGGGAAGATGCGCACGCGTGACGCCGTACGAAGAGTCGTAGAGCCAGGCATGGTAATTAAAGAGAGTTGAGCAACAAGATGAGAGTATTCCGATATGTCGTGTTGGATAAGGTGAGGTAAGGTAGCGTGAGGCCAACACGAGGTGGTGGCTAATACAGCAAATGATGTTAGTGCTCAATTGGAGCAAGTGTGATGCGCCGTCATTGGGAGACAGAGAGAGACCCGACAGCTCATTCAGCACAGCCCGTGGCAGCTAAGCCTGGATGCGCCCCCAAGGCCCCCACAGAGGCCTGCCCAACGTTCTCACCCGGTGCCTGTCGGGATTGGCACCAACAGACCAAATGGCAATTGCGACCGGAGTGCCTTCTCTCCCTGTCGTGCCGCGTTTTGTGCCCCCCCATTCTTTCCTCCAAGCTCCGGGTGTCGATGGCGAGGCCTGTCACCACCACCACCCCCGGCCCCCTCCTGCCTTCCTCCGCCAGGTCCCGTTCAGGGTCGGATCCACACCGGGCCATGGCTCCTTCCTGCCAGTGACAGATTTCCCGAGTCCCCCCTCTTACTCATCTTCCACCCACTCAGAGCCAACGGAAATACGCCTCTTTTCGGACGTCTCTCACCACTGTCTGAGGTAACAGCTGGTGACTCCACAGTCTCTCCTCTCTTTTGTGCAGGAACTTGACGAAAGCAAGCGCCTGCCTTCCCTCTGAGGTTGGTAGGGTCTCCTCCACCCCATGTAGCTGTACCTTACAGATCGTGTGCTTGGCTCCCGGTTCCAGGTACAGGCACGGACATAAGGTAGACATGCCTCGCTCTCCCTAAGGCAAGGTAGGTACTTCGAACTTGATTCTGTAGCTGTAGGGACGTATGTAGTGCAACTTTCCATGTATCATCAAGCCTTGGCCATTGTATTTCGCTTTCTTTCTCTCTTTCTTTCTCTCTTGTCCGATGCTCTCTTGGCCCCCTTCCCCCTCACAGTCATTCTGCTCGTTGTTGATATTTAATAAGAATTGAGACTTCCTTCACATCCAACCCTTTTCAGCCACCTGGCTGTTCTTGCACAGAAATACAAACGGGAACAACCCAGAAACAAGTCAAGCCAGAGCCCGTACCCTTGGTTCAATCGTCCCCCAACTTGCAACGCCCATCCCATAGTTGCATCAGCCTCCTTTTACACGCCCGGCG